AAAAAAAAAAAATTGAAAAGAAACAAACGGACAAGTAAAAAGAAAGCGTGATCGCTATGTAATAAACCATACCGGCAGTTCCCTTAGTGCAGCGGCCGCCTTTCCTACGACGGCACATATCATACCTGTTTTGCGAAATAAAAATCAAACAGTATGAAATCACCAGACACAGCTGTGTGGTAAAACAGTAATAGCATAATGTCGGGGCCATAGAACGTATTCGTTATTGCGTGAAATTCGATCGAAATCTGCGCTCCTTAAATATTTTTAAGCGCTTTCTCTCTCTCTCTCTCTCTCTTATAGTTTCAATCGTTGCAGTTATCGTTTTCGAATTTCACTGTTACATTTCGATTTGTTCGATGAGAAAAGAGAAACAAGTCGTTTTCAACCCTCAAGCCTAATTTCAAACTGACTTAATTTCACTTTGATCATGAATTAATAATTAGTAGATATAGTGTACGATTTATGTAATCTCGTTATCTCGATTGCGAATTTTTACGTATGGTATATGTGTAAAAAAAAAATATAGCAGAGTTACATAATCCAATACAATATTTAATTTCTACTAAGGCTATGTTGATTAATTGATCAATCATGAAAATTCGAAATTACGTAAAGATCCGCGCATTTAATTAATTTTTGACTAGCAATTCGGTATAAATTTAAATTATTACGAGCTCTATTAAACCAGAATCGAAAGTTCGCTCAAGGGTTAGATTACGTTACCGGTATCGAAAGATGAAGAGAAAAAAAAAGAGAACAAAAAAAAAAGGGGGGAAGGAGAGAAGATTCCGTATGTTAATCACGTGAAACGTAATGTGGAAATTAGGTTGAATTTAAAGAAATGTACACTCTTACTTTGTAACGGCGACAGCGATGTCGTACACCGGAAGTCGTCTCTCTCGGAAGAGATATTTGCCCATGTCGGTCAACGCAGCTGCCGAATCGATCGCGTCCCGTCCAACGCGATTTCTTTCCAAATATGGCGTAGCATCTCTCCCCTGGAAGATATTGTTTGAGAAAAAAAAAAAAGAAAAAAAAAAGAAGAAGAGAAAGTCGTGAGAAACGTTGATTCATAAAGTAATCATAGTTTTGTAAAAGGATTGAAATGATCATCGATTGCACTTCACCCGTGATATGATAATTCCAGCGATACTGATGCGGATCTTTGGCCCTTTTAACAGCTTGTACCTCAGGTCCACTCCGTTCCAGAAGGACACGAAGTACCTTTTGATTTGTACGTTATCACCGCCGTGTAATCTGAAAATAAAAAGATTCCGGTTTCACTAATTTGTTATATTTTTTTTTTGCCGTATTTTTATTATTTATAATATATTTGTGACTTTATAAATTCTGGCATTTAGTCTAATTTTAGACTATTTCTAATTCATAATAAATGAAATAGATTTTATTATATTATTATAAATTATAATTACATATTAAAATTATATATGTATAGATAATAATGAAATAGATTTATCCATAATAATAAATGATAGCTTTATTCTTCTATTAATCTAGATTTATTAATCTATGATAGATTTATTCATAATAAATGAAATAGATTTTATTATATTATTATAAATTATAATTACATATTAAAATTATATTGCAATAAATTATTGAATTATTTCTATTATAATATCACAATGAATAAATCCTGATGTATGATAAAATATTAATTACAAATTATTGTAAATTATTGTTACTCCTTAATCGATTGATAAATAACTTTTACCTGTATCCATCGTAGTCCACGATGCAGAGAATTTCCGGGTAGATCACGTACGGTGCTTCCCTCTTCGTTCTAGCGGTGATCGATCGTTTCGATCTGTACCTCTTGGCCAGATGGTCAGGTTCCATCAGCGCTGAAATCGATGTTTAATCACGAGAAACCAATCTCCCGAGGATTTCACCTGCCTCGGTGTGGTAATACACAAAGATCACTCACTGAAATCGCTGTACTCGTCGCCGCTCGAGCGAGTCACTTTCTTGTACACCACGTGATGACTCGTGCGCTTCAAGCTCCCTTTGCTTCGGGTCACGTTTGGCAGTAACCCCTCTGAATGAAGACTCGAATTCTTGCTTACCAGTTCGTCCAATATCCTATCTGGCAGTGGTCGAATCACTAGCTCTGAACCAATATTACCATCCTGGTTTACAACCAGGATTACATGTTATTTTGCAAAACAAGCAAAGAGTATCGTTCAAACGTTTCTGCGCGTGAAATGGCTACATAGTGGCTACAATATGATGAATTTTCACAATTTTCTATTTGTATCTATTATAGCATTTACAGATTAATCGAGTGTCTCGCGTGATTGCAAAAATTTGACAATAATATTTATAGAATTAGGATGTAGGTACTTTCTGCAGCCACCGTAGATCTTTTACTATCAGTACATATTCTTAATATGAATAGTTATTTTCTCGTCTAGGATATTTTAGTACATATTGCACGTAAGAAATGAACATGTCTGTCGTTGTAAAAATAAACAAAAATTCACATACAGCGAAATTAATACGAATGCAGTGAAAATGTATCTAAAGTTATGATTGATACTACTGTACATTTGAGTTATTGTATAACACTTATCTCTTAAGTCTCCCTATTGTATCACGTTACTACTGAAACTTTCCATAAAAATAAAAAAAAAAAATATATAATATAAGTATATGATTCGAATAAACGTTTCGATAATAGTAATTTCTGACAGACGAGAAAGATATACGATCTAACTAATTAGAAGCTCGATCTGCGTTTCCGGTATCAATAACACGTGTAATGGCTTGTTCAATGAGTTAATCAACAATAATCGGTTAATAACTTAATCGTGTATTCCTTCAACGTCAATTTTCCATTCGATGACCAACGACTTCCGTCTAGGTCGTATAATTATCACGACGTGACTAATTTCACTTTTTTCCAAACGTTCACGTTGGATCAAAACGAAGACGAAAATGAAATGTACAGTTGTTCCATGAAGAGAACAGTCGAAGTCGGTCGATTCTGTTGGATCGTTGGTATTTCCGATCCTGGTATGATCAACATGTTCGATTCGCGATTCGAGAGATTCGCGTGCATTGGTCAGATCGAGAGAGGGAGAGTGAAAGCGAAAGGTCAGGACACATGGGGTCACATAGAACAACGCTTTTACGGCATTATGTAACGCGACTTGACGATATTCGTTGTCTTTGGAATTTCCCCTCGTGTAGGATTATTTATGGTTGCTCGTATTAATGATTACAACTACATATGTTGGAAGAACGTGATAAGATCGTTTCATACAGCTCATTCAGAATATTTTTTTACAGATATATCGCATGCGTTATACAGAACATCCTGAAATTTCATTAATATTGCAGTTTAGTATAATTTGAATAAAATATAGAAATTATAAGATATTTATATTAATTTTAAGTACAAATATACTTATTGTAAATAACTTCCAACTTCATATCACAATATTTAGTTGAATTATCTTTGATATTTATAATAATTATATATTTGAGATTATTATTGATGCATTGTATTAATTTTTAATAATAATTTCTATTAATTGATTAATTGATTTCCATAATGTAATAACATCTCAAAAAGTTCTGTACAACACACACACACACACACACACACACACACACACACACACAATATTTCATTTTTATATGATAATTTGTAAAAATTTTCGTAAATGTTCAAACATTTTCGTGAAAACAGTAGGAAAGTTTTGTCGTAGGCAGGATCGTGTTTTGTAATTATTTTTCTCAAGGAGTGACATAACTTTTACTCATACTTCACGTGGTTTGCCGTATGTCGAAATCGATTTTTAAACGTTTGTCAACACTTCTTTCGAACATTACAGGACATGTTTCATCCTACGCAGTGATTAACCGATCGTTGCCAAGGACGCCGTCCTTTCAACTGATTTTTAATGCATGGACGTGATAAAAAAGTTGTAAGTAGTGAAATTTCTGCTGCACAGAAAGATATTCTGCAGAAGTGACACAAAGAACGCTAATTTTATACCGGAATTTTCAATGAATTGCTGCATAATGTGCATTCGGTGTGCCAAGCTGTTATCACGGTGAAAGAATCAGAATGTTCCATTCCTGAACGTGAACACAATTTTTTTTTTCAATAATTAAATGCCGTGTAGTCGAATTTATAGTGCCTCGTATAATTCTTGTAAATAATATTTCTTCGTACTTGAACTTATTTATGTACTTAACTATTTCACATTTTATAAAACGATCAGAAAATAGCTGTTTATCCGTATTTTTCTGGAAGAAAAAATTGACGAGAGTTTTATTTTCATTTTCATAAATTTATGCCTAAATTTTTTGTCATGGATATTTACAAGAAAAATTAGACATGAAATTATATACGTATAACTGACTAATTTCTTGTTTCCAGATATATTCTTTAGACTTGTGGTTTTCAGAAATGTAATTTAAATTATTGTTGAATATTTATTAATGAAATAATTAGTTTCATCTTTGCACAATATTATCAGAAGTGTAATTTAGATTGTTGTCGAAAATATATTACAACAAATTTATTAATCAAATAATTTATTTCATCTTTGTTCCATTACGTAAGAAGCTCGTGTTATTTATTGTCATAAAAAAAGAGAATGATTTTACAATGCTCCCTCGCGCGTTTTTTTTATTAATAAGAACACTCGATTTAATACATTCCATTGTGACTATAAAATGGAATCATTGTCAAGGGGAGATCTTTAATCGTTTCTACCGAAGAATACGAATTTTTTTTTTCTTTCACGCAGTTATATAACTGACGAGCATTCTAATGATTACCAAACTAAATTTCTCTTTAGAAATTCTAAACTAATTCAACGACCTTCCTTCTAATTTGATTGAATTGTTTTCCCTGGGACTACACGTTCAATTGTCACAGCGACAGTTTCAGCCAGTGTTTAAGTAGAATATCTAATTGTTTTCCACATGAAGAAAGAACCTCAAGAACATAAATTCGCCGACAATTTGTTTCCTGATTGATTTATAGACCATGGCACAATCAGCTTCTATAATAACAGCTGTAAATGAATGGTAATTTTGTTCCGTTAGTTCACACGTCAACCAAGTATTCAAGAAAGATAGTTGTTAGTTATTACCTTAATAGTAGATATGCATTCTACTATTACAGTATATAACGAGCAAACAGTATAATAAATAAAATGGAATGATCAGTAAGAACGACGTCTTTCGTGAAATTCAATGTTTTGAAAATTAAGAAAGGGTGGAAAAGTTTTAACTTCTTAGACTTCTTTTCTAAATTTCTTCTAAATGTTAACTACACTTGTCTCTTCTTACAAAAAGAAATTAAAACATTTCACAAATATTCTACCAGGTTCGAGTATTTCGTTTAGTACTTCTTAAAACATTGAAATATGAATATTTTATATATTTCTGCGTGTCTACATCTTTGCGTCTTCAAGATTCCCACGAATGGACAAAAATGCCACGGTCTACTTATAGTTTATGCTTTCGTCGATTTTAAGCAATTCAATGAGCAGGTAACAGTTTTGCCAATAGCTCTGCCTCCTGTCTTTCATTTTCTTTTCTTTTTTCCACGATTTCGTAAAACGAAATCGAACTTCCTAAGTGAAATTGTGTCTTGGTTGATTGGACGTGCAATCATTGAGAACAGCTACTCGCTATTCTAAGAGATGGAACCGATATGGAGAATTCTATTGCTTTTTTCTTTGGTTTTGCTCGAGCAATATCTTTGCAACACTCGCTTCGAACGAACCACGGTGGGGAAAAAAAAAGGGACAGCGATTGCCGGAGCTCGAAATGGAAATGTCAAAACGATCACGAAATGCCATTTTGTGCAACTTTCCTCCACGGATCGACCGCTTCTACTGGATCTCAGATACGCGTAAATCGTTTTAGTCACAGCGTATGATATCTCTGTAGAGATGCATCTTCTCTGATTTATTAACATTGTAGAAGAATACTCGAGGAGGTAATAGCAAGACTGATTACATAAGTGATGCATAGTCACGACGTATGATACACATGATGTAATGTCATAATCATTGATATCACTCTTTCTACAGTGTTCTAAGACAATTATCGAAAATTTCTTTATACGAATATAATTATACAATGAATTTTTTCTACTAATTCAGATGAGGATTCTGCTACACAAACATGTCCATTTCTATTCGTCTGGAACGTTAATTCTCTATTTGTGATATCACGTTACTCGTCTTTCGTCAGTCGATCGAATTCGAAGTCAGTCGACGTGAGTCAACTTACGTAATAAAAATTCTTCCGATTATATCTTAGTGATAAATACATTTTTGGCAAAGTGACTACATTTCAGTGAATAAGTTGAAAATTTATCAATCATCAATAGGATCATCAAAAATACTGAAATTCAAAAACGAGGGATCTATAATAAATTAGAACCATTACATACTACATATGTTAGTCATTGAAAGCTCAATATTGAAATTTTCCGTTTAATATTCGCACTATTTTCTATATTCTAATTTAAGCCAAAATTCCGCTACACAAATATTTCTCTTCTCTATTCAAAATTGCCAGACATCATTTGCTGTTCATCCTTCGAGTTCCCATCAATCAACCTGCTCACAGTGCAATTATTGCAAATATTGAAGAACTCTTTGCACGAGTAAAGCCCAATTGCCCAACATAAATTGTTATCTAGCGTTTCGTTCGATTCCTACCCTTCTGCCTCGCGAATTGCTGAACGTTGTAACAACAGAGCAGCCTCCCTAATCTCAACCCAGCTAATTGCCCCCAACGAGTCGCGGTATTGCGATAATTATAACCAAGACGAGACGGTTCCTAAGTGAGTCGACGAGATGGTTGACGAAAGACGAGCCGCAATAACGGCGGGAATGTCGAAATGGTACATTAAGAAAGAATGGCCTCTTACAACGAGCACTTTCCCATTCGCGTCCCGGTGCAGCAGAATGGACGCCATGCTCGTCGTGTCTTGATAGATGTCACCGATATCTATGTCGGCCTGAAACGGGAAGAACAATTACAACGTGGTGGTAATGCCACGGTATATGGCCATACCGTGGCCGATTTTATGCCATTTATTTAAAGGAACAATGCAAACT